CGTAACCCTGAGGGGTGGCCCTTTCCCACCACTTGGAGGGGCGCCATCCAGGACCCCGGGGCCGAGCTGGACCCTGAGACTCGGAAAATGATGTTGTCCTGGGCGTCGGTAGGCTTCCTTTGCTCGGACTACTTGGCYGAGGAGAAGCTCGTGCAGGCAGGCTTGAGCCCGGGTAGGTTGGCCTTTTAGGTCGTGTAACGTCTTGTGACTTGTGTACACATGCATTTTGCTTCCTGTTGGACTGATATCTTGTGGTCTTTTGGCAGCCATCATGTCTAGTGTCGATTCGCGCCGCCTTCTCTCGGGCAGCCAGAGACGCCAGGTGAAGAGGATGTGCCCCGACCGGACCCCTCCTTCGGGAAGCACTGAGTTTGGGTCTGCCGAGTCGGTCCTGCCCTCTCCTCCGCCCGAGGTTCCGATGCCCCCTCCTCCGCCTGAGATTCCAATACCCCCTCCTGAGGGGACTAGCGGGGTCAACCCTAGGGGAAGCGAGCCCTCTCTGCTGGGGGAGGCCCCCTTTAACCCCCTTCAGCCCCGTCCTTACCCCCGGTTCCCAGTGGGAAACTGGGAAGGGGTAAACGATTATCTGGTAGCTCACCGGAGGAGTCGGAAGGCGATCAGTAATGACGAGATAGCTCAGTGGGGAAACATGGAGCCCAGGGATCTCTCGGCATTCGCTTCTGCCCACTGCATGGTGGTGAGTGACCTTTTTCCTTCTTCCTCTCTTGTTTTGCCCTTTTCCGCTGTCTTCTGATCTTTTTTTTTCGCCGGTAGGTAAATTCTGCCATCCATGCCATGGCTCTCCAGACACGCATCCATCGCGTCGACGCCTTCGACCAGCGTGCTGCCAACCAGAAGCTCCAGGTCGAGCTCGATCGGATCCGGGGCGAGCTCCATCACACCCGCAAGGGGAGCGAGTCTCAGGAGCTGCTCGTCCACGACCAGGAGGCTCAAATCGCTCGGCTTACTAAAGAGAGCGCACGCTATAGGGAGGAATCGTCGAGGATGGCGGGGGAGAGGGAGCTCCTCAGGCAACAGGTGCGGGACCTGGAGTCCACTCTTCTGAACCAGACCCGAAACTTTGACCAGATGGTGGAGGCTGAGCGAGAGAGAGCAGTCTGGGATTTTAAGGACTCCCAGGAATTTAATGACCTCTAGGCGGAGTATGGCTCGGGTTCGTACCGCTCTGGGTTCAAGCTTTGTCGGTGGCTGGTTCGGAAGAAGTTCTCCGGGCTTAACCTCGACGGCATTACTATGAAGGGCCTGTTCCCCGAGACAGCAGACCAAGCAGATGAAGAGGAGCCTGACTCTCCGGAGGACGAGGAGGTGGATCCTTGAGGTGGCATTTCTCTGGGCTTCTGTGGCTTCCGGGTGCCGTAAACCCGGTCTTTCACCAGTTTTTTCAGTTGGGCAG